TGCGCTGGTGAACCTCTTGAATGGTATTGAGCTTTCAGGAGTGTGGCCCGTGGAGATCACGACGGTTCTCGGCGCCTCCATTCCAAAGGAGGCGGGCGGCCATAGAGTGTTCGGTCTGGTGCCTCACACGGCCAAGTTGCGGAGCAGGATGCGTTCAGCGCCGTCTTACTCTTGGACGGAGAAGCAAGGGGCCTTCTGGGACACGGCGATCGCGGGGTCCTCAGCTCTGCGAGCGGCGCTGGCTAGGGCCATCCTGGATGAATGTGCTCGCGAGTTGGGCGTGTCATGCGCCACTCTCTTTCTCGATTTGCAGAAGTTCTATGATTCGATCAGTTTTGTGCTACTGATGAAGGCCAGTCGCTCTCTTCACTACCCCGCCATCATCACTGTCCTGGAGGTGGGTATGTATGCGGCACCTCGTCTCATCAAGCGGGGCGTCTTGATCAGTTCTGCCTTGGAGCCTGGCAAGTCTATTGTTGCTGGATCTCCGCGTGGAGTGGGCATGGCCAAGGTGATACTGCACGGCCTCCTCCAGGAGGCCCATGTGGCGTGCCCACGAGCGGGGCTTTGGACATTCATTGACGACACGGCATGCAGGACGGAGGGTGCGCGTGCCACTGTCATTGGAGACATGTTGACGGCCGCTCAGTCATTGGCTCATGCGTTCAAGGACCACCGCTTGACGATCTCTGACAAGACGAAGCTTGTCGCCAGTGATGACGCGCTGGGGTTGTCCCTCGCCACTTCCTTGGAGAGCATGGGCATTCCTGTTACTCACGCCTTTTCGGCGGTCGACCTGGGAGTTGACGCAGCTGGTGCTCGACGGCGCGCCCGACCCAAGTTTCGTGCTCGACTGGTCAGGGCTACTGCGCGACAGGGCAAGATCCAGAAGCTGCGGCGACTTGCTGGCAGCCACAAGGTGGCGCGTGGCTTGTGGAGGGCGTGCGTGCTTCCTTCTGCTACATATGGGCATTAAGCTCACGGAGTGCCGCCCTCCATGGTGACCAAGCTGCGCAGGCAAGCGTCGATTTCGGTTGCTGGCCACAAGAGGGGGCGATGCTTACAGACGGTATTGCAGGCTACGCTTGGCACAAGCGACCCCTCTGTGCAGCTTCGACGGGATGTACTTACTGAGTGGCTTCGTATGTGGATTGCGCACCCGTACTTGCATGGCCGCATTGCTCGGGTTCGGCCACGTGTTCGTGCTGGACTGGGTGATCGTGTCCGCTGGCGTGGTGTCCGCGGGCCCATCGCTGCCCTTCAAGCTACATTGTTGCAGGCGGGTTGGGTGCCCCTGGAGGCCGCCCGCTGGCGACGCTCAGGTGCTGAGGGGCCAGAGGACTACACGTTCCTCTCCTTCGGCGAGGATGGCTTCAACGACGCCGTGCTGGAGGATTTCAGTGAGCTCCTGGCGGACTTTGAACACGATTGCAGTGCTGCCGCCTGGCGGCTGGCCGCCGCGCATCCAGATGGCGAGCAGCTCGCTGTCGGAGCGGATCTGCATGGGATTCGGCGTGAACTGGAGGCCTTCGCCAGGAAGGGTGACGTGGACCTGTGGGGTGCGACGGTCTCGGTCACAGCAGGTGGGCAGTGGACGCAGCAGAGGCAGCACGATGCTGGGTGCCAAGTCGATCGTCGGCGCCCACGGTGCAGAGCTGCCCCTGAGGCGCTGCGCCGCCGCATCTGGGAGTGCCCGAAAATTGCCCCCACCCTGATTACACGTCTACGGACGCACTCATCCCGCAGGCGTTGGCGAATGCCGACCTCGACCCTTCCTTGTGGTTGAGGGGGGTGCCTGCATCCAGTCTGACTGTTCCTCGGTTTCAGGAGGGACTTGATTTTTCTGACCCTATTTTCCTCGGCCAGTGCTTGCTGAAGGAGCTCTCGGCCCCTGCGGGGCACCCCCCCTCTACCTGTTTGGGGGCGGCTCAGGAGGAGAGCACAGCTCAGACGATCGTCGGAGACGCTGCGGAGCAGCGGTGGTAGTCATGCGTCAGACTTCGGACGGGGATTCTTCTGATGCTATGTGGCTCCCCGTCGGCGGCGTGGCTGCCTGCCTCTCTGGGCGACGACAGACTGTGCCCCGATCAGAGCTCCTGGCACTGGCCCTGGGCCTCGAGAATTCGTCTGGTGATACCGTCTACGCGTGCGATTGCAAGCCTGTGGTTGAAGGCTGGAGGTCTGGCCGCGCTGCTCGGCCTTATGGCCGAATGCTGATCTCTGGGTTAGAATCCTGCAGGCGGCCAAAAATCGTGGACCAGGGACAGTAGAGGTTGTCTGGACTGCTTCCCACCTGGAAGCTGAGCCCGAGCGTATCACCACCCCGTTTCACGCCTTCCTCTCTCGCGGCAATGCTTGTGCTTATGTCTGGGCGGGGTGGGCGGCGAGGAGGGGGTGGGAAACGTCGGTCAGACACCCGATCCCGTTCACGGATCGCTGGGATGTCACTGCTTTGCTAGTGCGGGGAAGAGCTCGGCGCGCACTGGTCGATCGTGTTGCTGTTGCTCCTGAATGCGGCCCCAGAGTACCCAGGCCCAGGATCCAGTCCTTGTCCAAAACTGGCTCGGGCCCTGGACTCTTCGTCGCACCGCCTTTCTCGGTGCAGCAATCGTTGGATGTGTTCTGGATGCTCTCAGATCGTGCCTCGGACTAAGCTCCTGGAATTCGCGGCCACGGCTTGCCCAACGGCTGCTGGGCCTGACCCTCCTTCCTCCCCCGCTGGCCTCTGTGGCCGTTTCCTCGGCGACGGTTTCCTGGCGGTGTGCGGGGCGACCAAGGTTGGAGGCGTGGCCTTGCATCCTTCCCGCGCCCTCAGGGAGTGGTCCCGTTTTGGCTTTAAGTTTTGTGCTGTTTGCGGGTTCACGGCTGCGGTTGACGGACGCAACCTGGCCAACCCCTGTGCCCCCCCCCCCCCCCCCCCCCCCCCCGCAAAGGGGGGGAGAACCTGAGCCGCCTCGCGAAGGGCCTGTATCCATCGTACCGAGGGCCCCCCCTCGTCGCTGGTGGTCGCTGAGATCCAGGCCCAGGCTTCGAGAGCCCAGTCCTTTCCTCGGCATCCTTCGTCCGAGGCTGTGCCTGTCCGCCTGAATGAATATATCAGGTTTGCTTCCGTCCCTGAGGAGGACGGTGAATTTGCTTGGCAACCTGAGTACGAGTGTGCCCCGCTTACTCCGCCTGCGGGCGGGGCTCCACCGTCGAGTGCCCCCTCGGCCCCGTCCGTGGGCTGCGGAGGGAAGGTCGGCGGGCCGGGGACTTGCTAGGGAGCGGGGTCGGGGGCGTCGTCGTCGGTCGCGGCGGCGAGAGCGGTCGGCGGGGAGCGAGCGAGGGAGAGAGCCCCCCCGCGCCGCCCCCCCGCGCCGCCGCCCCGCCGCCGCCCCGCGTCGGCGGCCCGCGGCATCCTCAACGCCAGGCGCGCCGCCCCCGCCCCCCCCCTGCACTCCCCCCACCGACTGCTTAGCCCCGCACGTGCGTGCACTCTTCATCCGCATCCGCATCCTCCTCCTCCGCCTCCTCCTCGTCCTCCTCCTCCTCCTCCTCCTGCTCCTCCTCCTCCTCCGCCCTCCTCCGCCGTCCTCCTCCTCCTCCTCCTCCGCCCTCCTCCTCCTCGTCCTCCTCCTCCTCCTCGCCCTCGTCCTCCTCCCCCTCCTCCTCCTCCTCCTCCTCGCCCTGAGTAGGAGGAGGAGGGGGCTGCAAGACGCTGTCGCGAAACAGCGTGACCATCGCCAGGTCACCCCAGCCCTTGTAGGTCAGGAGCAGTGTGAGTCAGCCAACATGGAGATCTCGAGCGACGGTGAAGTTCTTCCCTCGATCACGAGTGGACCAAATAGTTCCGGCATGATGCTTAATCGCTGTTTGAAGTGGAATGGTGAGGAGACCTGGAGTCTGAACTTGAGGGCGCATGCGTGAAGCTTTTTCGGGCGGAGCTTGAGACGTGCCCCTGCAATTCGATGACGCCCAGCTCGGGTCCATGGAGCTTTATGCAGCGATCTCGCCACCTGGGCCAGGGCAGCTCGAGGTTGGAATACCTGCTGCCCCTCCTGGAGGCTACCCTGGGGAAGTTCGCGCGGTCCGCGGTGATAGTTTCATGCGTGGGAAAGTCCGCGCTAATGCAGGTACACAACGCGGTTCCCTGCTAGAGCCTGCGCGCACAACTACTGGCGAGGCTCGCGCGGCGACTCTCGCTGATTGTTGCCTGCTCTGCCATGGCACAATTGCGGACAGGGAGACGGCGCAGCGCCACCTAGCAGCACCATCCAACATGGCGACGCACGACAGACTTCAGCGCGTGGAATCCTGTGCGCGCGGAGCACAAGTGCACTCTCTGTATCTTGTCTGGTCCTGCGCCTGCCTTCTAAAATAAGCACTCCGTTCGAGTGCGCCTGCGCAAGTAACTGGACGCGCGCGCGTCAATTTGACGTCGAAAGTGCTGAAGGCAGTTCAGGGCGCCGGGCCACAGGGCGCGGTGGAACACAGGCGCGGCAGGCAGGAGAAGGCGGGCGCCCCCAGCCCGGAGAAGGAAATGGCCCTCCAGCTCGAGGCGTGAGAGAGAGAGAGAGAGAGAGAGAGAGAGAGAGAGAGAGAGAGAGAGAGAGAGAGAGAGAGAGAGAGAGAGAGAGAGAGAGAGAGAGAGAGAGAGATCCGCAGCCATTTTGGCTCAAGGCCACGAGACACCCGACGACCGCGAGTCCTCGCGGGCGTCTCGAGCGCGAGGGGTCTCGCGCTTCGGGCCAAGGTGCGACAAAGCAACGGGAGCTTGTCTGGCCGCGGCGCGCAGCTGCCCTCCTCCTCCTCGCCTTGCTCGGGGCGCCTTCTCACAGAGGGCGGCCGCAATGGCGGGCGGCGGCGCTGGGAGCGCGCGCGGCGGCGGCGGTCCAGGGGGCAACGAGCCTGGAGGTGGTGGCTTTGGCGGTCAAGGGCCACGAAGCATTGGGGCAGGAGCAGCAGTGCGCGCGCCGTCTGGGAAGGCGCTTTGCAAGTCTTGCAGCGCGCCCGACGCCAAGGGCTACAGGTTTGTCAACTTCGGCGACCGCATGTCCTGCAAGAGGTGCAACTGCCCGAAGTCGTCGCACTTCGGAGGCTCGCCCAAGGAGAGCGCGCCCTCCTTCAAGGCGACGGAGAGCCTCAAGCTGGCCATGGCGCTGGAGGAGATCAAGCAGCTCAAGGTGGCGGCGGGCGCGCGCGGCGCGCCAGCTGCAGGGCCCCCCCCCGCCCTGGCAGGAGGGGGCCCCAGGCTCCCAGCAGCGCCAGCGCCTTGGGCTCGTCAACGAGCAGCTGGTGGACCCTGCGGCGCTGGGCCGACATTGTGGACGAGGGCGACGAGGCGCTCCGCTCGGCTGCCATCGCCAAGAAGGCCAGGCTCGAGGCGGAGGCGGAGCAGCTGCGCCAGGCGCTCTTCCTCGCGAAGCCGAAGGACGTGCAGCTCAAGAGCCTTGCGGACCAGATCAAGAAGCTGGAGCAGCAGCAGGAGAAGGGCCGCGGCGACCTCGCGGCGGTGGAACTGCAGCAGCAGGAGCTCGCGGCCCAGGCGACGGAGCTGCGCGCGGCCGACGTCGAGCGGGGGGCGAGGCTGGTCGAGCTCAAGGCGGAGCAGGCCCGCATGGTGGGCAGGCTCGCGGCCCCTCCTGCTGAGCCTGCTGCTGGCTTGGATGGCGTCGTGGAGGTGGGCGGCTGCAAGTTCACGGCGGACTTTTTGGGCAAGGTCCTGGGTCGCTTCGGCGTGGAGGGCGAGTTGCACGACGCGCTGCGGGCCCAGGCGACCCAGCACGAGCAGCAGCACAGGGCCGCCAAGGAGGCGGAGGCCGCTGCTGCGCGGGCTGCGGCGGCCGAGCAGCGCGCTGCTGCCGCTGGGCCGGGGGCGCCTGCAGACGCCCCCGCAGCAGCGCCGCCTGGCGGCAGCCGCGCCCCGATCCCAGGTGAAGGGGTCTCTGCAGGCGAGGACGCCATGGACGATGAGGGGCTCGACGTGGAGGTCCAGCTCAAGTTCTGCCAAGCCTTCGGGGCAGCCCCGTCGGCTGGAGAGGGCGGCGTTCGCCCTGCTGATGACGTGGTGCGCGACGCCTTCAACAGGTCTGCGCTGAGCACGGCGCGTCGCCGCCCAAGCGGGCGCGCACTGCGGCCCGAGGGCACGGTCGTCGCCATGACGGACGACAACTTCGACTTGGAGGCCTACTACAGCACGCTGTACGAGGCCGACGAGCAGGCGGCCCTGGAGCTGGGTGGCTTTGACTTCTGGGGCGCTGGTCGCCAGGGTCAGGAGGGCCAAGGGCGGGCATCAGAGGCGCCCCCTGCTGGGAGCGGCAGGTGGCCCTCAAGGTCTGGGGACGCCAGTGAGTGCCAGGGGGGCCTCACGAACCACTCCTAGGGTGAGCCGCCCAGTGAGGACGAGTGTGAGCCAGCCGCGCGGCGTCTGTGGCAACGCCGCCTCCCCCAGATGCCCAGCCAGGGCGGTCAGGCGGCGCAGTCCCCTGCTCCTGGCTGGATGGCCGCCTGCGAGGCGGCGGAGGCTGCTGGGGCGCCTGGTGGTGCGGCGCTGGCGCGGGCGCGGGCTGGGGCGCTGCTGGCGAGCGGCGCTGGTGCTGCGCTGGGCTGCGGCGAGGACGGGAGGCTGCAGACCCCCGCTGGGCTGCAGGGGGTGGTCGGCCTTCAAGGCTACGGCCCCAGGATGTCAGAATGGGTTGACCAGGCGAGGACTCCTGACTGGCAACCTCAGGTGTCGGCCCCAGGGCACGGCCTGCATGATGCTCCTGGAGGCGGGCTCTCAGGGGATGCGGACCGTCAGACCCTTCCTGGGCTGATGGGGGTGTTCGGCCATCAAGGGCACGGCCCCAGGATGTCAGATCTGGTTGGCCAGGAGGGCTCTCCCGAATGGCAACCAAGGGTGTCGGCCTCAGGGTACGGCCCAGGGGGGGGCAGAGGGATTCAGCCCCTCGACGCCACAGCCTCTCCCCCACAAGGACTCCGAGTTCGTTGCGCAGCAGAACATCGGGGACCAGGTGTTCGGCGAGTTCGGGTCCCTTGAAGGCCAGGAAGCCTGCAGCCTCCGAGACCCTGCCTCGGGCGGTGATGCGGCCTGTCCTGCGCCCCCCGCATGGAGCTCGAGCCCCCCGCTCGCTCCGCCCCCTCAGCCGCGGGAAGGTGCCGCCCCCCCGCGGGTCCCCGACGCGACTGCGTCGGCCAGTGCAGCGCACTTGGAGCGGCTGCTCGCTGGCAAGCCCAAGCCGATGGCGAAAGCAGGGTGCTGCCTGGCCACAGTGAATGCCTCGTCGTGGGGGCCGCTGGGCGAGTACCTCCTGAGGGCTGACGGCAATTCGACGCTGGCCATCGCGGTTCAGGAACACCACCGTCTGGCCAAGGACCTGGCGACGCAGCAGCGGGCGTCTAAGGACGCGGGCTGGCATGGAGTATGGAGCGCGGCCAATCCGCCTTCGACGTCGACCTCGGGTTCCGTCGGTGGCGTAGCGGTGCTGGCTCCCACCGTAGTCTCAGTCACGGCGCCCCCTGGGTGTGACTCCCCCGTGTTGGTGCCGGGGCGCCTGGTGGCGGGGCACGTGCGTGCTGGCCTTGCTGGCGGCGTGGTGGTCCTCAGCATCTACCGGCACGACGGCGAAGGGCGTTCGGGCAACAACCTGGGCATCATTTGGCAGCTGGCGCAGTACCTGGGGCGGCTCGAAGCCGAGGGCCACCACTGGGCGGTCATGGGGGACTGGAGCACGGGGGCGGACGAGCTCGATTTTGGCTGGGTCGGCAAGCTGCGGGCCCAGGTTCGGCAGGCGAGCGGCCAGTCGTGCAGGCAGGGTGGCGGGTCCAACATCGACTACTTCGTGGTGTCCAAGAGCCTCATCCCCTTCACAGGAGAGGCTCACATCCTGGACGTCGGCGCCCACACGTGGCCGCACTGGCCCGTCCGCTTGCCGCTGTGCCAGGTGCGCGTGCAGGCCGTGCAGCAGGTTATCGACGAGCCCAAGCCGATCCCCAGGGAGGCGGCCAAGCCTGGCTGCGCCCGCCCGCCCTGGCGCTGGGGCGCGTTCGCGAGGTGTGTGGACGCCGTCGCGGACCAGCAGGGCCTCCAAATCCTCTAGGACATGCTGCTGGAGGGTATCGAGACGGAGATCCTCAACAGGCGCGATCTAGTCGGCGACGCTCGGCGCACCTTCGCGGGCCGCGGCACGAATGGGGGATGCGAGCATGAAGGTGGTACAGGCCCATTGGCACCCTCCTCGCAAGCGGAATCGGCGAGGGCCCGAGGCCCACGCCTGGGCGGCGCTGGCAGGTTGGGCGTCGGAGCTCCTGAAGAAGCAGGCCTACCTGGCGAAGCTGTTCGGCGCTCTGAAGGATCACCCTGTCGAGGAGGGGGCCAAGCCCGCGGCGGCACGTGCCATGTGCATGTGCGCGATTGCAAAGGCCCTGGTGCACTTTCAGCACTTCCTGGAGTCCCTGCACGGCCATGGGCACTGGCATCACCTCCCGAGATGGACGCGCAAGCCCTTCCTGGATGATGCGGACTTCGGCAACGAGGCTCGGGCGCAGGACCTCAGGCGGGTGTTGCAGGCGGCGGAGCAAGGGCAGCGCAAGCAGGCCAAGGGAGACGAGGCCCGCTGGAAGGAGTGGGTCGACGGGGCTTTCCTGGGAGGAGCAGGCGCCGCCCACGCCGCCTCCAAGGCCCCCGTTCTTCAGGAAGTGCTCCCAGATCACCCGTCGGAGGGGGCGCAGGCGCTAGTGGCCAGGGAGTTGCAGCCATGGGTGGACATCTGGAACTATCACGGCCTGACCCGCATGGAGTTGCCCCCCCCCCGATGCTCCCACGCGGGACGCCCTGCCGCCGCTGCAGGTGCATGCAGTGCGGGACGTGGTCCGATCCTTCCCGTGGCGCACGGGCGTGGGCCAATCAGGCATACCTCCGAGGGCGCTGGGGGACCTGTCCGACGACGCGCTCCTGGCCATGACCGCGGTCTTCCACAAGTGCGAGGAGCTGCTGGTATGGCCGAGCAGCCGCCTCATCAACACCATGGTGCGGCTCCCCAAGCCCGACGGCGGCTGTAGGCTCATCTGGCTCATGCCGACGCTGGTGCGCGTGTGGAGTCGGGCCCGCAGGCCTGTGACGAAGGCGCGGGAGCTGGACAACCCCTCGGAACTGGTCTGGGGCACGGGGCCAGACAGAGCCAGCTCGGACTCGGCGTACGAGCTCAATTTGGCCAAGGAGCAGGCGAAGCTCGGCGGCTGGGACTCTGCCCAGGCCGCCCTGGACCTTTGGAAGGCCTACGAGATGGTGGCGCCCGAGGCCCTAATTGGCGGAGGCGCGGGCGCTGGGTTTCCCCATGCGGCTCACCTGGATGCTCCTCAGCACCTACCGCCAGCCGCGCGCCCTGGCCGCCTTCGGCACGATGTCGGACCCGTTCGTGGCTTGGCAGGGAAACATCGCGGGGTGTGGGCACGCCAACTCGCTGCTGATGGTGCTCACCCTGCGGGCCCTGCGCAAGACACATGCCCTGGCGCCGTCGGTCACCCAGCGGGGCCTGGTGGACGACGTCACCCTGGACTGGAGCGGGCCCAAGGAGGCGGACGACGACAGCCTGGTGACAGCGCTGAGCAGCTTCTCGGTCGACATGATGGAGCTCATTTGGTCATGCAGCCGCAGAAGTCGGGCTTCCTGGCGTCCTCCAGGCGGAGGGCGAAACTGCTGGCCCCCCACATGTTGCCGAGAAGCATTGGGTGCGCAACCTGGGCCACGAGCTGCACGGGCGGAAGGTCCTCCGCACTCAGGAGAAACGCCGCCTGCAGGCCCTGGCTGAAAGGCGAGGGCGCATGGCCATGCTCAGGCGGGCTGCTGGGAGGCGCGCTGCCGCCCTGGTTGCCACAGGGCTCTCGCCGTCGGCGGGACATGGCGCAGGGGTCTCGGGGCTAGCTGGCAAGCCTCTGGCCCAGCTGCGTACGCTGGCGGCGGCCACCGCTGGGGCCAAGGCGGGCTGCGGCACGGCGGCCGTCATGGTGCTGCAGAGGCGGGTGGATTTCGACCCGATCTACGCCGCCACGGCCCCGCTGGTTTGCAGGCTGGCCAGTCGCATCTGGGGGGGGCGCGGTTCTTTGGCTGAGCTGGCGGCTACCTGGCAGGTGCTGGCTGCGGATGCGCGAGCGGGCTCCCTGTCTTGGGCTTCGGTGCTGGGGCCGCTTGGGGCTACCTGGCTTTCGCTCGCGCGCATCGGCTGGGGCATGGCAGCCGCCTGGGCCCTGCGGACCGACCAGGGGGAGGTCATCTCTTTGCTGCGGGTGGCCCCCAGGGGCGTCAAGGACGCGCTCGTGGATGGCATCCAGCGCTGGCAGTGCAGGAGGCTGGCCGCCCACTTGCCCGAGAGCGGCGGCGAGGTGCTCTGGCCGCGGGCCGCGCGGGCTATTGCCAGGCGGTCTCGGCCCGCTGCTGAGTTGGGGGCCGTCCAGGCCCTGTGGGCAGGCGGCCACTTCACCATGGTCTGGCGCTCTGCCCACGGCTTCGCCACCACGGAGCTGTGTCAGGCTTGCGGCCAGGCCAAGGACACCCTGATGCACAGGTGGTGCGCCTGCCATGAGGTCATGCGGCCACGGGACGAGGAGCTGGAGCAGGAGGAGCCCTTTCGCAAGCCGATCGCGGCCATGCACACGCAGATGGCGGAGGCCGAGCAGAAGTGGACCATCGGGGACAGCGAGCTGCCGTTGGCCTATGGCCTGCCGCTGCTGCCTGCCCTGCCGCCTCCTGCGCCTGCTGCGAGCGTCACCTTCGAGTGGGGAGCCGCGCAGGTGGCCTGGCCTGCGGTCGTCTACACAGATGGGTCAGGCCACGCCTCGCAGGTGCATGGGGCGCGCAGGTGCGGCTGGGCGGCCGTGGCCCTCAGGCCCGACGGGATGCCGCTCAAAGCCGCCTATGGGCCGCTGCCTGGGCCGCGCCAGACTGTGGGCAGGGCCGAGCGGCAGGCCTGCCTGGCACCCCTGTCTCAGGCGGGGGAGGTCCAGCTGATCGTCAGCGACCTGCAGTCGCTCGTCACAGAGGGCAACCTTTGGAGCCCCACGGCGCAGGCGGCTAGCGCGAGGCACGCCAGCACATGGCGGCAGCTCCACGCAGCTGCGGAGGAGCGAGGCAGCCCGCCCCCGCGCTTCAGATGGGCGCCTGCCCACAGCACCCTGGAGCAGGCGCTGGAGGAGGGCATCGGGCCCATGGACTGGCTTGGGAACTGCTGGGCGGACTTCTTCGCCAACCTGGGGGCCGCCGAAACGAGGCTGCCCAACAACACGGTGGAGGCGCTCAAGGCGGAGTTGCAGCGGGCGCTGGACACCGCCACGTACTTGGGCTGGGCGGCGGCGCGCGTCTGCCAGCTGGATCTCTGGCGGCCGCTCGGGGACGACGGGGAGCTCCAGCGCCGGGCAGAGCTCAAGTGCCCCGCCCCTCCCAAGCTCAGTCTCACGCGGCACGAGTACCAGGCGATCAGCGCCAGAGGGGTCCAGCGCCTCCACTGCGGACGGGAGGCGCACACCGAGAAGGCACGCTCACTGCTGGACTGCCGCCCGTGCCAACCGTCGGCGCTGGGGCGGTTGCGCGCGGCTCGCAGCCGTGAGGTTGGCGGGGCGCAGCTGCTCGCCAGCTCGGCCATGGTGGACGCGGGGCTCCAGGCGGCGGCTTTGTGCGAAGCAGAGCAGGTTGGCCACAGCAGTGCGGCGCCTGAGGTAGGCCAGGCCTTCGGCCCCACGGAGGGCGGCGCGACGGGCAACGAGTTCGAGCGCAAGGCGCAGTACCTCCTGGCGGCGGCGAAAGGCAACTCGGCATGCGTTGCAGGCCTGGGCCCGACGGCAGGCAGCCGTGGGCAGGAGGCGGCGGCGGCAGCTGCGGCGCACGCTCGGCCAGGCGAGACGGGACGGCCACCGTCGGAGGCCTCCGAGGAGCGGCGGGGGAGGGGTAAGACGGAGCGGCCACCGTCGGATACCCTGAGGCAGCCTACCCTCAGCGTGCCAGATCCCGACCGCCCCAACCACCACAGCCAGCAGCTGCCGCCGCCAGGGCGGTTGCCGAGGCCACGACCTGCTGGCCATCGCGACTTGGGAGCGAGCGGGCCCTCTGGAGGCCACACTGTGCACGCTGGCCAGCTCGTGGATCACGGACCTGCTGGACCAGAGCCTTGCCTACGCCTCGTGGATGGAGGAGTGCGTGGACTACGTCTACAGGCTGCTGGGGGAGGCTGCCTTTCGAAGCTTCTTCGCGTACACGACGACCCCCGAGTCGCGCAGCGCGGAGCGGCTCAGGAAGGCCAGGGGGTTCTGCGAGCGCGGTTGGCGGGACGGGAGCCCCTGCCGCGAGACCCGCATTGACGAGGCCCTCCAGCTGGAAGGGGGGCTCAGGGATGCCCGTGCGCAGCGCCTGCGGTGTTACCACTGGGCGGCGCGTGCCTACCTCAGCGGCCGCGGCAATGCTCGTCACGCTGGAGGGAGGCAAGGACACCTGTACGGCCACTGGCCGCCTGAGGCCCTGCCTGGTCCCAACGGCCTGCCCTCGGCCGACGGCGGCGACCACGGCGCCGAGGGCGACCATTGGGAGGACTTCGACGACGCCGACATGGAGGTGATCAGGGGCCTGACGGCCCAGGACGTGCAGGCGGCCAGGCAGCGCGTGGCCGAGCGGGAGAGGGACCGCTCTCGCTCCCCGCCGAGAGGCGGCCCCGAGCCGCCGCCCGTGCCCGAGGGCAGCCCAGAGGGGCCGCGGCCCCCCTCGCTGCCCTGGCCAGGCGGCGACGACGAAGGACCCCAGCGCCCAGCGGGTCCGAGGCCTGACCCCGCCCCGCGGCGCCGCAGCAGCGCGGGCCAGGCTGCCAACCGTTCGCGCTCGCCGCCAGGCCGAGCGGGCCAGGAGGCTGGAGGTGCGGGCCCCAGCGCGCCTGGCAGCCCAGCGGAAGCTGATCGACGCCGCCGACAGCCCAGCGAAGCTAGCCTCCCGCTTAAGGGTGCGACGGCGCCGACGGGTTGGCCCCAGCAGTTCGGACAGCAATGCGACGGGCCTTGGGGATTTGCGCCGCACGCTGCAGGGCTTTGCTGGATGCTGGGTGTTCGACCTGCGCGATCCTGACGGCGCGGGGGTAGCCTGGCTGGCATGGGCTGCGCAGTATGTGCTGGAGTGGCTGGCCCGCCCTGGCAACGCCGCCGAGCGCGAGGAGGCCATCCAGCGGGCTGGGTCCATTGGGCTGCGGGCCCTCGTGCACGCGTTGGTCCGCCAGGCCTGGACCATGAAGGCGTCGGTGCGCAGGGCGGCGGTCGGGCACCTGCTGGGCCTCTCGACGCTGGAGGAGTGGATGCACGTGGCGGCCTTGCAGTGGGCCACAGTTGACGAGATCATGTGCACCATCAGGGGCATCGTCGGCGAGGCGGCGGCCAATCTCCCTGCCCCACCTGGCTTCGCGGGGCCCATCCCTGGCCTTGGCCCTGTGGGCGTGCGGGAGCCGCCCAGGAGCGCTCGGCTTCCGCGGCCCGTCGGCCTCTCGGTGCTGGGCGGCTACCTGGCAGTGCGGCAGCCGTGGCGCAACCCGCAGTTACCGTTGCTGCAGCAGCGGGGCCTCGACGCCAGCGACGATGACGACGTTGCTCCGCACCCTGGTGCAGCCCCGTCAGGCCTGCCCCCGCCGCCGCTGGCGGCCGCTGCGGTGTCTGGCGGACAGCCGCCAGAGCCAGGGGTTGGCAACCACAGGCGCTGGCAGGTCGAGACGGCGACGCAGGGCTCAGACTCCAGCGAGGGCCCCAGCCTGGGCGGCAACCCCGCCGTGGCGGCGGCCATCAATGGTATGCCGCCGTGGCACCTGATGGGCGCGGGGGACGCGGGCGGCGACGGTGCGGCCGCTGGCCTGGCGCCCTGGGAGCCCGACGGCGCGGCGGGCGACGCGGACGGGAGCGCGGCGGAAGGGGCGCGGGCCTGGCGGCCCCCCGCTCGCAGCAGCCTGCGCTCTGGCGGCGGCGGCGGCAGCGGGGCCTGGCCTGGCCAACAGCTGCGCTGGGGCAGCGGCGGGACAGGCGCCAGCGAGGTCCAGGAGCCCGCATCGTGGGGCCCCAGGCAGGCAGCCGCGGGGCGAGGAGGCCAAGCCTGAGGCGCAGCTGGGCCACGCCTTGCGCACCGCTGGCGGCTATGCGTTCTGCTGCAAGTGCGGCGCCTTCGCCAAGGTGCGGACCGCGCCAAGGGCCTCAAGGCTGGCTGCACTGGCCGACTGCCGCCTGGACCTCAGGCCACGGCGGGCCAGAAGAAGAAACGGCAGTATTTGACGAGGCTGCTCGGCGGCAAGGACCCCTACACGGGCAAGCCGCTAGCGTGATGGTGCTGCGGCTGGTGCGCTGCCGCCCGCTGGCAGCCCTGCTGGCTGGCGGCCGCGCCGCCGCGCGGCCCCTGGGCGCCGCTGCCCACGCTGCTGGCGGGCCCTGCTTGCTGGCTGCGCGGGCCCCCGTCGGCCCACCAACCTGGATCGTCGAAAACGCTTCTTGGGGGGTCGTTTTTCGGCCCCGACCCGTTTCTGATGGTCCCAGGGACCGAGACTTGGTCCATTACCCATGTTCAAAATTTATATCGCCAGAAATCCGGGCTCGTTGGGAGGGGAGGAGATAGGAAGCGAGGGTGGAGGAGGAGGAGGAGTAGGAGGAGGACGACGAGGAGGAGGAGGATGAGGATGAAATGGAGGAGGGGGAGGAGGAAAAGGAGGAGAAGGAAGAGGATGGAGAGGAGGGAAAGGAGGGAGAAGAGAAGGAGGAACAGGAGGAGGAGGAGGAGGAGGAGGAACACGAGGAGGAGGAGGAGGAGGAGGAGGAGGAGGAGGGGGAAGACGAGGAGGAGGAAAACGAGGAGGAGGAGGAGAGGAGGAGGGCGATGGAGAGGAGGGAGAGGAGGGAGAGGAGGGAGAGGAGGAGAGGAGAGAGGAGGAGGAGGAGGAGGAGGAGGAGGAGAAAAGGAGCAGCAGGAGCAGAAGGGGAGGAGGAGGAGGAGGAAAAGGAGGAGGATGAAGAGGAGGGAGAGGAGTGAAAAGAGAAAGGAGGAGGAGGAGGAGGAGGAGGAGGAGGAAAACGAGGAGGAGGAGGAGGAGGAGGGGAGGAGGAGACCAGGAGGAGGAGGAGGAGGAGGAGGTGGAGGAGGAGGAGAAGGAGGAAGAGTGAGAGGAGGAGGAGGAGGGGGAGGAGGAGGAAGAGGAGGCAGGAGCAGGAGGAGGAGGAGGAGGAGGAAAAGGAGGAGGAGGAGGAGGAGGAGGAGGAGGAGGAGGAGGAGGAGCGGGAGGAACCGCCCCGGACGGCGGCGATCACCACCAGGCCAGGCCGAGCCGGCCCGGCTCTCGCCCGCCAGGAGCGTCGAGAATGCGCAGCGGGTCGTCGACGCGCTGCGCGACCGCGGCGTGTGCGTCGTCAAGGCCGGGGCGGACAGGCCACCCGTCCGCCCTCGCTCAGCATCGTCCAAGCGATCCCTATCCCCCTCCCCCTCCCCATTCCGATCCCCTGCATCGCACCACCCCAGTTGGGGATATGCCCCTGGAAACCAGAGGGGAACAGCCCATAGCCCCATCCAGAGTGGTACGTCGGCCAGGGGGGCTCAGGCCACGCCAGTGGGGATAGGGATCGGTGAAACGATGCTCACGCCCTCGCCGCGCGGCCGCCAGACATCCCCAGACCTCAGCTGACTAATGTTGGGATCACTGGGGACGTTTTTGATCTTTACGTTTTGCGGCTTTCGGCCAACCAAAACCGAAAGAAGCGGCACCGCAAAAAACAACGGCAGCACGAAACGGAACCGAACCGAAAACGGCGCGAGCGAGAATCCCCAATTCGAGAAACAAGTATCCACAAAGCGGACAAAACATTAACCCCGCCCGCTCTCGCCGTGCAGCCGCCGGACACCCAGACCTCCATCTCTAGGTCTTCCGGCCGGGGTCCGAGCAGATTGGGTCGAAGGCTCGCGCTGCATCGCGGATGCGTTGGCGATACGTCTCGATGTGGAGCCCAGCTTTCTCCACGCCGACGTCGTCAGTGCATCGCCGACGTCGCTCGTGCATCGCCAAATCGGCGATGCGGCGCGATCCTCCGACCCCATCTACTCGGACCCCATCGAGGAGGTCTCTACAAACACAAGTACATGTCGGTCGTTGAAAGTAGGTATGTTTAGATTCCCAGATCCCAATATACTTAAAGCGCCTTCCCACTTCAATCATCGATATGCTTTTACTGTGTTTTGTCATTCCCTGGGAGGGCCTGAGCCTGATGTACTTCCAACGCCTTCCTACTTCATGTTTTACCTACTTCTTCCGACCGACGTGTACGTGAACAAAACGATGCGGATATGCTTCGTCGTTTTCGGGCTCCCAGGGGCCCTCGCCGGGCTCCAGGGCCGTCAAAGAACGCGCGCGCGCGCGACGGCGGGGGCTCGCCGACTCCCTGAGGAGTCCGCGGGCTACCCACCCCAGTCCTGGGATTGAGGCGAGAGGGGTGGAGGGGTAGGAGGAGAATGAGGAGGAGGAGGAGGAGGAGGAGGAGGCGGAGGAGGACGATGAGGAGGAGGAGGAGGAGGAGGAGGAGGAGGAGGAAGAGGAGGAGGAGAAGGAGGAGCAGGAGGAGGAGGAGGAGCAGGAGGAGGAGGAGGAGGAGGAGGAGGAGGGCAGCCCGCCTGCTCGGGCGAGAGGGGGGAGCGGCCCGTCTCAGTCCCAGGACTGCGGTGGGCCGCGCGCGAGCCAGGATGCGGAGCTTGCCCCGGGGAACAGGCTGGCCCAGAGCTCCAGGGGCCGATACGGCCGCCCTTCCCTCGTGTTCGCCCTTTTTTCGGGGGCGGCAAAGAGGGGGGTGAGGACTAGGGGTGGTGGATATTATGGCGGGGGCCATTTCTCCCCAGATTTCGTGCCAAGGCGACTCTTCTTATTTCGAAACGTACCCGGCCCCCCTTTGGGCCGCGCACGTGCCGCCAGCCATGATTTACGGCCCCCCCCTCTTGAAAGGCCCCCGTCTTGGCCGCCCCCGATTTTGGGGGGCCGATGCAGCTACCCTCCTCGGCCACGCGCAGAGGGGGGGTAGGGGGAGGGGGGAAGGCACCCCTGCGTCTTCGGAGTCGCGGGCCTCTTCTGCAGATGTGAGGCCGGCGCCTTCTAAGAAGCAGCCTCAATTGAGAAGCCTTACCCCTCCCCCATATTCCCTTTCGGGCGATCGCAAACATGGATCAAGGGGGCGTGGATTAGCGACGGGTCCCGCTTCCATGGAAAATTGCGGATTTCCGCCGCCGAGCGAGGCGGCATTGGCCGCATTTTGGCGCGGAGAGCCGCGATAGAGCGCGCGGAGAGCGCAACAGGGGCGGCGCCGGAGGCGCAGCCAGGGGGGGTCGAGGCCCGGGAGCACCGCGCGGGCTTCCAACAAGAATATGTTTGCGCAGTTTTCCCTCGTTTTCGCCAGCCTCCCCTCGTTTTCGCCCCTCCCCTCTCGGGAGGCGGAATGAAACACAGACAAGACACAATTAATCGTCGATTTCCAGGAAAACATGGAAAAATATGGGGAGTGGGGGGGAATATGAAAATTTAGAAAATACCGGAAAATATAGGGTATCCTAGGGTTTGTGTGTATTTATGTATGTGTCCCTGGGCCCCTTCACCCTCGTTTTCGCACTTTGGGGGCCTCCTTGGCGGCGGAGAGCCAGGGCCACAATTGATCCGAAGGAACTTTCAACACATAGAATATTACACCAAGATAAGAATAAGAGTATAAATGATATTGCGAATAAGAATAGTAATGCGAATACGAATACTGTTCATATATGAAGAATGCGAGTATTACGAATCAGAATGATGATCACACGAATGATAACAATAACAGTAATATTCCCCAATCAGAGCTTGCCTCTTCAGGGGTCCTACCGGATTCATATGGTTAGGTTGGCTGCGTCGCCGATTTTGGCGGCCCGCCCGGGTGCCCCGGTGCTCGGGGTGCCCGGGTTCCCGGGAGTTGCGTCGCCGGTTTCGGCGGCCCGCCCGGTTGCCCGGGTGCTGCGGGCACCCGGGCGGGCCGCCGAGGATCATCCGAATTCATCCGGCCAGAAGTCCCAAAACAATTTTTGAAATTCCCCAGGGTCCATCCGTACTCCCTAGGTTCCCTTCTGGCCTCCCCTATATTCGTCATGATTCCAACAAATTCCGCAGGATTTCAACGAGCCCGAACATCTCCTGAGGCTCCCCGAGTTCCTTCCGGCTTCTTCGGGACTCTGGGGGGTCCGCAAGATCCTTCTGGATTCTCGCAGCTTCCTCAGGACCCATCAAGGTGGCTCAGGACGCCATAGAATTCAGAATTCCTTTGGGTCCCGATTGATGTCGACCATTCATTCAAAAACATGAATCATTAAGGAATTCTGCTGGAGGCTGGGACTCGACAGTTTCCCATTGAATTCCGATTCAAAAAAACAACAATAAAGTATTGCGGAAATCTGCTGGAGAATTCTGCTGGAGCTGGAGAATTCTGCTGGAGGCTGGGCCTCGACAGTTTCCCAGTGAATTCATTCCAAAACCCGTACAGTATTAAGGAATTCTGCTGGAGGCTGGGACTCGCCCATTTCCTAGTGAATCCCAATTCAAAAACCCGTGCAGTATTACGGAATTCTGCTGGAGGCTGGGTCGACCATGTCCTATTGAATTCAAATTCAAAAACCAATGAATTATTTAGGAATTCTGCTGGAGGCTGGGACTCGGCAATTTCCTCGTGAATTCCCATGTAAAAACAATAAAGCATCCACGATGTTTGCTGGAGGCCAGTACTCGGCCATTTCCCTGAAATCCGATCCAAAAACTAATGAACTATTAAAGAATTATGCTGGAGGCTTGGTCTCGGTAATTTCCAATCGAATTCCCATTCAAAAACGAATAAATGATTCAGGAGTTCTGCTGGACGTTGGGACTCGACCGCGTTCTGTTGAATTCTCATTCCAAAGCAGATGAATTATCGATGAATCCTGCTGGAGGCGGGAACTTAACCATTTCCGATTGAATTCCAATTCAAACAAAAACATATGAATCATGAAGGAAGCCTGCTGGAGGCTGGGACTCGGCCATTTCCTATTGAATTCTTTTTCACAT